CAGACTTCTAAACTGGTCATTACAGTGTGATGCAGTAACTGCCACGATGCAGGTCAGACAGCCCTCAGCGTTCTCCCTAGTGCCAGATGTCCTCCTGAGATTATTGTAAATATTCCAAATCTTACACTGAGTACTCAGACTTCCTTAGCTGTACAGTAGGATTTTTAAGCTCCATGAGCATTTATTGAATAAACAAAATAGCCCTGTGTTGTCATGCGCTGTCTCACTGTGTTGCTCTAAATACTCAAACTCAGATACTTCCCCATGAGTGTCAGGGTGGGCCGTGGTCTTCACAGCTAGGTCTTCTCCAGTCATAGGTAATGTTATCTAGACACATTCAAGTTTAAGCCTGATATAGCAAAACCTGTTATTTCTGCAATCCTGTGTCAACTTTGGGGCGATACCTCTTTTGGAGGAGCGGTGCAGACCTGGGAGAGGATTAACCAGTGCGGTGAGGTTTTCTTGAGGCCCCGTGGGCAGAAGCACAGACCATCTACTTCCTCCTGCTCCTCTTTCCTGAAAGGACGGAGGCCCTCTCACCCCTACTTCCGTTCGGCTACCGGCCTCTGGCAGGACCGTCCTTTAAAAAGTAAGAAAAATAGAAGAGGAGAAGGAACTGTAGAAGGTAATGGGAACCAAAAAGCGGGGTAATAAGAAAAAAATGAGATGAAGAGGTTTTAATAGCTATAAATTTGACTCATAATTTAAAAACATAGAGGCCACCAGATTCTCCCATCTTCCCCCCCACCCCCAAATCTTCCTGTATCCGGGGCCATCCTTTCCTGTGTTCTTTCTCTTAAGATGAAGGCCGTGTTCCTCTCTCTGCCAAAAGCCAGCCCCTTTCCCACCGGTCACGTTCTGTCTTCCAGCAGAGTCTCCCTTTTTCTTTTTTCATTATGGAAGTATTATGTGCCCATCGTCAAACAGTTAAATAATATCTAAGAACCAAGACTAGTGAAGGCGATTCTTCTTCCTTCCAACTCCCCTCCTGCTGCTCTCCCTGGAGGCGACCACTCATGGCTTTGCTAATATTTCTGCAGATTAAAAAAGTGTACATATACGCACACCATATATGTGCACATATGTACATATGTGGTGTATACAAAATATATGCCAAATAACCGATAGTCTTTTTAACGTAAGTGGAATACTATACATCTCGTTTCTCAACCTGCTTTTTCCCACGAACATCACACGTATCCTGGACATTTCTCTGTCAGCCCACACAGAGCTCTTGTTCTTTTAGAAGGCTGCATGTCGTTTTACAGTAAGAGTGTACAATTTATTTTCCCATACTTGACATTTTCCCCAATTTCCCAGTATGATCTATAATGCTGCAGTGATCTTCCTTGGACAAACATCTTTGTGCCGGAGTATTTCTGAGAAGTGAGTCCTGGACCCGAAACGTCCAATTCAAAGCATGTACGTTTTTACAGTATCTGATAAATCATTCTTAGAGGGTTTACTTCTATCAGCGGTTTATGGATTGTGCCCATGTTCTCACACTTTTGGCAATATAGTTATTGGGTGATAAGTGATTGTTGTCCCCAATTGCTAGTGGTATCTTTCTCTGTGAATTGCCTGTTTATATATTATACTCATTTTCCTATTAGATTATTTGTATTTTTTATATTGATTTGTAGGATGACCTCCATTTCCAAGATTTGGAATTCTGTCTCTAAAAGTTTGTTGATGCAAATGTTAGATTTAGATAATTTTATTTCCTTTATGCCAGTGGGAATGAAATAAAATAGTTTGAATGTAGTATTTGAGAAGATTCTACAGATAATTCATCTTGAAAAGTAAGCTTTTTCGGAAAGGTATTTCTTAAAATGATGGTAGTGGTGGTGTTAAATTGGGAACTTTGATAAATTTCTGGTTTGTGCTTTGTTTGATTAAACTATTTACATTTTCATGCTTTTCTTTGTCACTAAAGCAATTGCCACTTTTTTTTTGTAATGTGGACAGAAGTTTTGAAATGAATACCATGGATTTCAGGAAGAATGAAGAGAATATAAATGAATCATGAAAATATTGAGAGAGCATATCTTAGAACATGTAGGTTCTAAGTTATTTTCTTATGTAACAAATACAAATTCCATTTAAAATGGTGTTTGAAAACAGGGGCTGTGTTCAAGGCACTGTCACTGGTATTGTGGATACAAAGATGAAGCAGCCCCTCCTGGTCATCATTCATCAGGAGGGAGGGTAGGTTAGATGCGGGTCATGCGGGAATGTCCTAGAAGTGAGGCTGTGTTTCTCCTTTGAGAAGTGCACAGTTTTTATCTGCCCTATACTGATGGTGTTTATTTTGATCACTTAATTAGCTGTTGGCTTTCTCAAAGTTCCCTTTTCCCCCTTTGTCATTAAGAATTATTTTGGGGGTAGTTATTTGAGACAATATGAGTCTTGTTGTTCGTTGGAATTATTTCTATTGGTGTGGACTCATGGATTCTTTTCTACTAAACGGGTTGTAATCTCACTATTATTTATTTCGGTGCTCACGTTGTCCCAGATCTTGCCTCTTCATGGGCGTCTCCTCATGCTCATTTCTGTGTCCTGGTGACACAGCCGTCATTCTTCGCACCCCTGTTTCCTTTCTGGAACGTGGGGCTCACGTGGGCTCTCCTTGCCGTGGTTGTAGAGTCGGCCCTGTCTTCACCGAGCCCTGTTGCCCTGAGAGAAAATGGTTTTTCCAAGCGGCGTTCTCTGCTCGTTGTCGTTGGGCTGTCGCGCTGTCAGGACCGTCGGTGGACACACGCTTCACGCCCACGTGTCCATTTGCCGCTGTGCTGTTTCTGTGTGCGCCCCTGTTGAAAACCACGTCTCCAGTTCTTGTCTGACACCCCACGGTTAATCCCACGCCCCGCGCCCCGCCCGGGCTCTCCGCGTCTGCGCTCCTCCTCGCGCACCACCCTGCTCCGCGTCGCCTCCTGTCGCCCTGGGGCCCGCGCCTCGCTCCCGGGTCCGGGTCCGCCGCTCCGGCCTCTTCCTTCCACTGGGCTCCTGCGCCCCCGTCTTCCCCGGGGCAGGGTCCCCGGGGTCGCCCTGGCCCTGGCGCCCGGAAACAAGGCCGCCTCGCCGGGGGTCGCCTGTCCCTGCCGCGCCCGCACGCAGTCGCCGGCCTGGCTCTGCTTGGCCTGCGGCCTTTAGACCGATGGGGAAGGAGGGGGAAATGTCCGGTTTGACTTTCAGCCCATCATTTGCCCCTCGAAGGTCATGCAGCAGGTTCATGGGCCTCCAGTTCCTGGCCGCGCGGACCTGGTGCTCTGCCCCGTTCGGCGCGACTCCGCGGCCGTCGCTGCTTTGGCATCCTTGACACCGAAAGCCCGCCTCTTCCTTTACAGCCTCTATTGCGTCTTAGCCTTTTCTTGAGTACTTGCTCAAAACGCGTTCTTTTAACTAGGGGGCCCTCATCTGTTGCATTGGCTAATCATCGTGAGCACGCTGGGGACAGCTGTGCAGCTGCAGTGGCGTCTTTGCAGCCTGGCTCCCTCTTCCTGATTCCCTTTGGCTGCGGGGTAGGGGGGGGGTGATGATTTGAGGCGGGGACTATACATCCTTTTGGTGGCTGGATCAGTTTCCCTTGGATTCGATTAGAAACATCCCCCTTTTATGTGCCAGGCCGAGTGCCAGGATACATCCCTCATGGAATGTCCCCAGGCGCCAGGAGGTGATCTTTTCATAGATGTCATGCTGTGCTGATGATACATATGTAAAATGGTAAAAGTAGGCTTGAAATAAGTACAGATGTTATTTTGTAGTTTGTAAACCATTATGTGTGAGTATTTGTTTTTAGATTATAGGTCTTTTCAAAGTGTGTTCTCCCTTTAAATAATTTTATTTTTTAGTTTAAAAAAAAAAAGGAAGAAAGGGAAAGGCCACATTGTAAGGTTAGCTCCTGGATTTTAAATGTCTAGTCGATGGATTTTTCAAAGCTTTGAAAAATATGAGAACCTTTTTTCCCCAGTTTTATTGAGTATAATTGACATAAAATACTTTTCTTGACGGTGAAAAGGATCACTTAGGACTGTCTTTGGCCCTGAATACATTGGAAATACTTGCTTATCTTTGGCCGTAGCTGATAATGATGTAGTTTTATAATGATGCACTTATTTCATTCAAATGTCTTCCTTCATACTGCTGGAGTAGTAAAGTAGTGTGACTTGCATCTCCTCCTGCTGGGGTCTGTAATTGATGCCTTTTTGTCGGGTTTGTAATTGACCTTGAGTGGTAGTGTGTGAGAGCTCCCCCTTCTGGCCTCCTGACTTCATTTTTTCTTTTTTAAATTTTATTATTAGTTTCAAGTATACAGTACATTGATTAGATAGTTTTATAATTTATAAAATGATCCCCCTAATTGCTCCTTCTCTCCCCTGGCCCTCCACCTAGCCAGTATATTAGTGCCAGCTGCATTCCCTGTGCCGTGCTCCCCATCCCGGTGCCCATCTATCAACTACTAATTCGTCCTTCATTAATGCTTCACCGTTCTCCCAGTCCCCCAACCCCCCTCCCCTCTGGCTGTCACCAGATTATCCTCTATATTTGTGAGTCTGTTTTTGATTAGTTTGTTCTTTTTGTTTCTTAGGTTCTGCATATAAGTGAAATCATATGGTATTTATCTTCCTCTGTTCCTGACTCCATTTCAAATGATGTTTCCCTGTATTAATTTTCACAATACTTCCTTCTTATTGTTGAGATAAATATCTTTAGATTTCAGAATGACGATGTCCGTCTTATTTTTAGTCAGAGTATAGTAACTGAACCCCAATCTCAGAGTGGTAAAATCAGGACATTAAAAATATGACACATTGTCTTATATTTTATATAGAAATGTGGACATGTTTTGCTGTTGTTTGTTGTATTTTTGCATTCTTATCATTGCTGGAACGAGAATGTGATTTAGTAAACTTTTATATTTATTCACCTTTATTTCCCCTTACATGATTTTCCTTGCAGATAAACATCTCATTCTAAATTTAACCTTTGAACTCTTTCAGGCCTTTAGATGCTGCTCTGGAAAAACCTCAGTAATGGATCAAAGGAAGAACGAGAGTATTGTCCCCAGCATCACTCAGTTAGAAGATTTTCTCACAGAACACAATTCCAACGTTGTCTGGCTCCTTGTTGGTGAGTAGAGTGTGTTTTCTTATGCATCACTGTTGTCTCGCGTGGGTCAACAGCTGCCGCATTTTAAGTTGCGATGCTTACAGGACCGTTCGTTTATTTTTTAGAAAGAAAATTTCGATCTTTCTCTGAGTATTTGTTCTGGGAACTGCTCTTTTCCTTAGGCTGCTCCTTGTGTGACGTCAGGGAGGAGAGGAGAGACGTCGCACTCCGCTTCTCTTTCCTCTTTCATGTTCATCCCCCTGTGCTGCTTTCGTGACCCCACAGGTCCTGTGGCAGGGTACGGGTAGAGGTGACGTGTGCACAGAAGGGATTATAATGAGTCAGGATTTGTGGGTAGGGTTAGGTTGCCATTTGAGTTCTATTTTTTTTTTTTTACTTGATGGAAGTTAACTATAGTAATAATGAAAGCCAAAAAAAGTAAAATGAAGTGCAATGCAGTATGAAATAGGACTTCGTAAAAGTCCTGTTTGCAAATTACCTTTAGTTTAAGGACATAGCTCTTGCTTAGTTTTTATCTGTCCCCTCTCCTATCACCTAGAATTTCTCTGACTTTTTTCTGGAGTATACAACTCCTTTCTTTAAGGAAAGAACAGAAAAACAACCAGAAAAACGTTGCGTGATTGTTTAATTTTGCTCTTTTACTCCTGGCCTTATGATATTGAAGAGCAGGGCGGGGGACCCAATACAATGAAAAGGCCACACACACTTCCTAGGCCGTTGGGTGCTAGAAGCATACTTTCTCAGCAGATACTTCTTGCCTTTCTGAATGGCCCACAATAACCTGCTCTGATTTACAGTAAAAATTAATACAAATGAGTTTAAACTTAAAACAATGATATATCTTCAAAAGAATGTTTCAAAAGAATTGTTCTAAAAATAATTTTTATGGACAGCTCATAGCACTTGCTACATCAAAGCTATTACCATCCAAGTTACCGTGCAAAATGTATTTTGACTTTCAGTTACTGCTTTGTTTTATCTATATTAAGTAATTTTTTAAAAAAAGTTAAGAATGTAATGCTAAAATGTTGCTAAAAGGTTACACATTAAATCGCTTTGTCTTGATTTAGAAAATTATTATACTTTTTAAATAGACAAGTAAAAATATCAGAAAAGGCTTTCTTATGTTTTATCTTTTGTATATTCATGAGCTAGGTTTTTTTGGGAATCTTATAAATTTTATAAGTGACTATGGCTCTTGAAAGATGGTCAAATTTGGAATATCATTTACTGCAGCATATTCAAGAAAAGTAGGCATTCTTAAAAATAAGTTACCAGCTTACCAATCACAGCCAAATAGCATGAGGTCCTATTTAATACAGATAGATATACCTTTAGTAGACTGAAATTTCCCCTTATTTCCATTACTTTTTTAAAAGAAGAATCTATTGATTTAAAAAACAGTGACTTTGATTTTAAAAAATCATCAATTTTCTTTCTTTTTAAGTGACTTTAGTTTTTAGGAAATACTTCGGGAATGAACTTTTAGCCTACTAAAGGTGGATATTTTTCAGAATATTCAGAAATACGGGCTTTCTCATGTTTAATAACTAGAACAGTGCAAAGCAGTGAAAAAGGAAACAGGCAAAAAGGAAAGCAGATTGCTTTAATTGATCTGATTGGAATCTGTTTGTTTTTTTATTTTTTAAGGTGACATTGGTTAACGAAATCCAGTAAGTTTCAGCTGTGCACTTTAATAGTAAGGCATATGAATATTTACACTGTGTGTTCACCTCCCATAGTTAGATTTCTTTTCTGGTTAGTAACTAAAAGAGAATGAGGAGAGCTGGGTAAAGTGGAATTGATCTCTGATTTTAGAGCTCCAGGTATTACACTAAGGACATACTACCATGTGGAAGTGAATTCTATCATTTCTGAATGCGGTAAATGACCTTTTACTAACAAATTTTTACTAAGATGTTAAGGTGCTTGAAAGTGACATTCTTTTGCATTTTTTTCTCCCAACAGCTACCATTTTGTCCTGTGGATGGATTATTTATCTCACATATTATAATTCTCGGAATGTTGGTCTTATTTTAACATTGGTTCTTAACAGATTATACAAACATGGCTATATCCATATTGGTAAGTTTTGAGTAACACTGCATTTTTTTCTTATACGTAATTTTGAGGTGTATATCAGAAATTTACATTTTAGAGACAGGAAGTAGCTTTGGAACTGTAGCCTCGTTTCATGAAAGGTAAAGTACTTTAATTGGAATTTCTCTGGGACAGGTTATGTCCTTACCTTATTCCTTGGAAGTGTTTCTACGGTAACTTTTTTACCTTTTTTGCTTAGGAAAGATGCTTGTTAAAATAGTTTGAAAAATATAGAGTTTCTAATGTTCAATGAAGTTATTTTGCTTTTTTTTTTTTAAAGTAACTCGTACTTTAAAAATCTGTAAGTTGGAATCATCTTGTGTATTTCATTTTGTGGCCTGCTTTATTAATTTAGTTTCTGACTACTCGTAAGTGGAAGGTTTGTATAGATAGGATGGTGTATTAGGAAGCGGTATGCTGTGGAAAGCCCTAAACCAGTGGCCGAGGGGAGAGGGGACACTGAACAGAGCCATTCTCACCTTCCCTGGAGTCACGTACCTCTTAGTTGTTATATATAACCTTCTCTCAAACCTAAGTCGTCTTCCATTAATTTGAGGTAATGACTGGTTCCTGGAGTCACCTGAACTAATGGAGAAAAGTGATGAATTGGTCACTGCTTGGGGTTTATTTAGTGGCTGTGCCTCATTAAGGGACTCAGTCATATAAAGCAGTGTTTAAACCGCTGACCTTTTTGTTCGTTTAGTAGCCCGATCCATAGCAATGGTACTTGCTGGGCTTTCTGAGGGAAGGAGGGTAGAAATTAGTGAGGCCGTAAACATAAGGAAGGGAGTCAGGAGAGAGCGTGTAATTATCGGATAAATCGAATGCTCGATTCTTTTAAGCTTTAAGGGCTCTACTGTCTATCAAAACAATCACGTTAATCACTGTGTTTTTCTTATACACAGGCTCCTTTTCTTTCTCTGTTCTTTCTGGAAAAGTCATGGTTCGTGAAATCTATTACATTACAGAAGACATGTCTATTAGGTAAACAAAAAAAACAAGCAGAAAAAAATTAAAAACTATCTTGAAATATTGTAAAATTTTTTTCTGATTATGATTATTTAATATGATTTACTTCTTCAAATAAAACCATAAGTCAAAAATCATTGTTTTTAGTAAATCGTGCCTAGTGAATTGATGTTTTAAAATGTTTCTATCAGTGGATTAATTTAGCTAAGGTTTAGACTGGCAAAAGTTTACCGAAGAGCAGCTTTTAGAAGTATCTCATTTCATTCCAAGATGGAAAATTGAACCATTGAATTACCTGATCACTGCCGGTGTAGAGTTCATGGTGGTCATTTGTTACACAAACTAAGGCCCAGAGGTGCTGATAACGCTCACCCATCAGGTCCTTACGAGGTGATGAGTTTTTAGAATTGTTCGGCATCTGTTAACATCTCTAATTTCACTTTAAGAAGGAAACTCAAATCTGTAATGAGAAATGATAATATGTTTGATATCATCTTTCCTCTGTAAGCTTTGAAAGAAAAGCTTCTCTATTTTTGTGATTTTCTTAAAACTTAGAACTTGAAAGTTTCGAATTAGTTGAGAGGTGCTGGGGTTTCGGAACGTTTATACTTCACTTAAAACAGCAGAGGCAACTTCTTTGTGAGTCTAAAATTAGTTCCAAATTAAAAATAACAAGTAAAAGCTAAGCTGCTGTAAGTTCATCCTTTTGGAGCATGAGGGGTTTATCATCACAGAAATGAAAGAATATCTTTAAAAGTTTCCCCTAGTGTGCTCATGTCCCCCTTTAAAGATCTGGTTTTTTGTTTATGAAGTTTTTACTCCATTAAATATTTATAAAAGAAAAAGGTTTTCTGTTAGCACTTCCCTTTCCTGTTGAATGTAATCTGGTTATTACCCAAGTGGCAGAATCGAATTTAGACCTATACAGATCTTTTCTTTTTTTTTTTATCTGGAAGATTATGAAATCGTTAGGCATGCCAGTGTTGAGAATTTTTCATATTTCCTTGTTCATTATCAATTGCTTGCCATTTATAATAAGTAATTAGGAAATGAGTTAAGTAAATTGTTACATAAGTTTTCATTTCTGTAATTTATTTTGCTTAGAATTCAAGATGGATTTATAATTTTTCGGTGGTGGAAAATGTATAACCCAAAGCAGAAACAACATGGTGAGTTTTTACTTTTTCATGTGCTTGAAATCTTTAATCATATAGTCAGTTTACATTTATGGATATTGAAATGTTTCACATTTTATAATAGGTAAAAATATTTTTAAAAGCTTTGGAGTTTACAAAACTTTGATTTTATCACCGTTGGCCGAAAACCCTTTAGCAGCTTTCCTCTTGCCTGGTAAAATGTGGTTACTTAGGCTGTTATTTATTCAGGGCCACCCTCCACATGACCCTGAGCCACGTTGCTGGCCTCACCCCCTGCCGCGTCAGTGGACCTAACCAGGACTGTGGTCCAGCGGCCTTTCCAGCACTCTTTAACCCTTCCGCTAAGACGCCTTTGCTTTTCAGCTTCGATGTCCTTTATTCATGCCTCTGCCTGATGCTGCTGCTAGTTCTTATTTATCTAGTGTGGCAAGGACGAGCAGAAAAGAGGACAGGTGGGCTCTAGACTGTCTTCCGGTTGGTTCTCCTTGGATCATCGGTATTCTACCAACATCTCACAGTTTCTCCCCAGACCTTTATCTCACGGCTCTGTGAGTGCTCTGGTCTGCGGCTGACCCTCCTGCTGACGCTGACCGTACCAGGGGCTTCGAGGGACAGGAGACCTTGTCTTTACTCTCTGGAGTAGCAGTTATCACACTCTTTGTTCTCAAGACCCTTTACGTTCTTCTGCGTTATTCAGGACCCCAAAAAGCTTTTATTTCTATAACATATCGATATTTATTTTACTACATTTGAAATTAAGCCTGATAATTATAAAACATTTTTATTTCGTTAAAATAAGGGGGGACCCCCACCTCTGCCTAGCCGTCGGGGCCACCTGTGTTTCTGGCACCCCACGTGGCGATACTCCATTACATACTAAAATAAATAACACATTTTATGAAAAATAACTTTCCAAAGCCAAAAAAAAAAAAGTGTTATTTTATATTTTGCAAATCTTTTTAATGTCTGGCTTAATAGAAGATAAGTGAATTCTCCCCTGTTTCAGTCAGTCTGTTGAAGTATCATACTTCGTGGAACCTTTAAAAAAACTCCACTGAGGAAAAAACCAAACATCTCAGTATAATAACACTACCGAAATAGTTTTGACCCTTTGGTTCTCTGGAGAGGGCCTTGGGAGCACCCCACGGGTCCCTGGCCCATACTTCGATAACTGCAGGGGACCCCTGAACCATGCAAGGGTTGGGGGCACTGACCAGCCCCCTCCCTTGTGCAGTTGCAAATCCATATATCACTTTTGACTCTTCAAAACTTAGCTACTAATAGCCTACTGTTGACTGGAGCTCTTGCCGATAACATAACCAGTCTATTAGCACAGGTTTCATATGTTATATGTATTATATACCATATTCTCACAATAAAATAAGCTAGAGAAAAGGAAGTTCAACTCATAAGAGAAAACACATTTACAGCATTCATTGAACAAAGTCTGCGTGTAACTGGACCCGTGCAGTTTAAGGGTCAGCTGTGTTGCTCCCGGAGGTGTCGGGTGGGTCCTGGGGGAGCAGGGTCGGCAGGGAACGCGACCCCCACCTCTGCCTAGCCGTCGGGGCCACCTGTGTTTCTGGCACCCCACGTGGCAATTCTGAAATGGTGTTTTTGTGTGTTGGGGGGGTTACCTAGGAATCTTCCCATCATAACTTTGTTCCTATGAGAGAACAGATTTAAAGTTCCACAAGTTTGTTGAGCTTCGAAGTTTGAGCTGGCCTTAATTACTGTAGATGTCACTATTACTTCACTATTATTTAGTCATTTTTTTTTTCTTACTGTCATTGCCCTGCTCCCACATAACTTTCCCCCCTCTTGTTGGAATACATGATGTCCTCTTCCTTGAAAAGGCTGGTGTGAACTGATGAGAACTTGGTGCCTGTAGGATTAACGAAGTCAGGACGTCTGGAGAGGTTAATGGGCAGATTTCCCGTGCGGGAAAAGTTTTCACAAACGTAGAGTTATTAGATAATTTTGCACAGAGGTGCGCTGAGATCACGTGATGGAAGTGTCCCGTGGGCGTGCGCAGCGAGCCTCCTGCGGTCTCATCTGTGGCTGAGGCCGTCCGTGTGGTACTTACGGTCCCTGGTCCGTGACTTTACAGTGTTGTTTGTCCAGCCAGCCTTTTACCTCTCTGCTTGGCACTTGCTATAAACATTCTCATAGGAAAAAGAATTGTTCTTCAGATACTCAACGTATCAGTGCCCTGGGAACCTTATAAGTTTTGACTTCTCATAAAAAATATGAATAAATTCAAAATTTGAGTCACTTTCCTACACTGTTATTACCCATGTTAAATCATGTGGCGAGAACGCTCTTATTTTTTATGTTTTACTTGGCTGTCAGCCTGAAGGGTGGCCTCTGAGGAAAGGTATCGTACGTGTACCTCAGACATGGCCAGACCTCACCCCTCACGGCCACGTTCCTTTACGTTTGGTCCCAGCTTTTGGCACTTTTCATTAACTCTGAGCAGGCCTGGTGTGGCCGCCTCCAATTTAGTTTGTAAAGCTCACCTGGTTTGTCCTTAGGGATGGGTTTCCATTAGAAGCCCAGTTTCTCCTGCAGGTTGTGCTTCTGTTTATTAGATGATTTGTTCTATTGACTCAATCTTTTTTTTTTTTTTTCAAAAAAGCTGTTTAATTAACATAGGTTTTATTGTTAACAAGATTGCAGTGGAACTGAAACAGAAGTTCTCTTTGTTTATATAACTGGTTCATGATTTTAAAAAAAAGCCTTTTTGAAAAAAAAATTTAAAAAATACCTTTTTGTATATTTATAGAGGGAGATGTGGGTGAGGAGGCCATTCTGCCCTAAGACCTCCCCTCTCGCCATGCTCTCTACCCCAGGATCCGGGGGACACACTTAAGAAACAACTTAGGATTGTCTCCAGATCCTTTATCCATCTGGAGACCCCTCATTTTGCAGGTGGAAAAACAGAATTCCCTGTGAGTATGACTGGTAAAGCCAGAACGGAAACCCAGGCCTGCCCACTTTCGGTCCAGTGCCCCTGATGATACAGAACAAGCGGATCAGATGTGGCCTGGGCAAGTTCTTGAAGGTTCTCACGTGCAGACACTGAGCACAGCTCGCGGGAGGAATGCAAGCGTTCGCAGTCTCAAGGGGCAACTGCAAGTTCTCAAGCTAAACCTACTGAATTTCCTTAGACACGTGGAATACCATCTTGAATCGTTCATAGCTTTTTTTTTGGAAGAAAATAATTACTTCACTTTATCATGAAATATTTCCTCTCCTTAAAGTGGATTGCTCTTCACCAAAATACATGGATGAGGTCAAGAGTAACTGACCCAAATCCTTCATGAAAGAGGTAGCTTTCGATAAAAATCTTTACCTGTTTAACAGGCATTTATTTTGCATTCACTTAGGGATCATTGTGTTAAACTGGAGGGGACGGTTAAAAATAAGAGGAATGGGTGTTAGCTGAATCTGTTTAAGGGAGACATGCTGGTAAACAACTGTAATTAAAAAAGAGAGGGCGCACATGGTGTGTTTTGAGGACCGCCGTCAGAGTGATACCTTTGTTGGGGACCAGTCGGTGTGCTCCCGGCGGGGTCGTGGTGGGATGCTGTCTGCCGGGAGGCAGAGCCGGAGATGAGGGGCTGTCGTGACAGTCCCACCTCTTAAGCAGCGTGCGCGGTGACGACCGGGAGGAGAGGGGTGCAGCTGGAGGTGGAGTGGAACGGGGTAGCTCCACCTGGCTCGACCAACGGCTTGGGGGCAGAAAGCAGGTTATGTTAAGGAATGAGCAGATGACTCGGTTTGGTGGTAAATGTGAGGTGGGGGATGCTGAGGGGCGATTTGGAAGCTGTGTAAAAGGATCTTGAACACCTGGCAGCCCCCGCCGTTAAAGGGTTTTGAGCAGGGGAGCGACGTGAACTTAGCTCATTTCAGATGATGTAAGGAAAATGTAATCACCACCACAGGTGCAGACACCCCACATTAATAGAAGTAGTTCAAATACTGGTCCGTCCTTGGCAGGTTCTCCTGCCAGTTCTTTGTGTCTTGAAATTTTTTTGTTATTCTTAATGTTAATGTATTTCTATGTCCCTGCTTGCTTTCTGTAGTTCTGATAGTAATGTAGAACAGAAATATAATTTTTGGATATTTTATATTCTTAATATTTGAGAATATTTAAATTATTTTGTCTTCATCATTCCTTTATATTTTTTGTGCGCCATTGTTTGCAATAGAAAAAAACTCCACCACTCTATTTTACATGGTCATTTATAACTTTGTGATTCCATAATTGATGTGACTAGTAAGAATTTGAACTGCAAAGACAAGGGAACTAGTATTTATTGTGTACAACAATCCCGCAGGTAGGTAGAGATATCTCATCTTATAGATGAGAAAACCGAGTCTCAGCGTGGCTGAGGTGCCTGTCTCAGGTACATCATTCGTAAATGAGATCCAGCTTACAGGGAACCAATTTTATATCCTTACTGCTGTTTATGTCCCACTTTTCTCCAGTTCCTGGAGACTTCAGTACAGAAGTCCCCAGTTTTTTTTAAAAGAAGCTCTGCGTGTGTGTGTGTGTGTATGTGCACACGCGCGTCTATGAGAGATACGTACCTTTGGAAAAGGTGTCCCTCTGTCTTTGAGAAGGTGCTTGTCTCTCTGTTAGGGGCGGTATTTATTTATAAGGATACCTTCCAGGTTAACAGGGCACATGTGTGTGGGGCGCCTCTGCATGATGGGCTCTGTGAGGGTGACGCTGTGAGTGTGCCAGGACTTTGCGCCTATGTGTGTATGTTGGGTTGGGGCTTGAGGTCGGGAAGGGTATGCTGTATAGACTGCCCCTGGGGATAGCAGAAAGCAGGTCATTGGCCTAAAAGATCCCAGCCAAAGGCCCTAGTACAGGCCATGTAAGCATGGGGACTAACCAGGCCTGGAGATCTGATCTGCTGTTTGAGCACACGGCTTGCTGGCTGGGATATTGTTAATTCAGGTGAAACAGATTGAAACAATAGAATAAATTTTAAACATGGGATGTGAAGTCAGCTAAATCTTTCTCTGTTAAAATATGAAACCAATAGGTGCTTTTAAATTGCTTACAGACTCAGTATTTATTCATTATTTTTCTAAAGTGTTTTTTTTTGGAGGAAAAGAATAATCTAGGCATTTTGTTCAACCTGGTTAAAGAAAACCCCACGTATTGTCTCTGTTTAACGATTTAACCTATTTGTTGAGGCCTCCTATATACCAGGCATCGTTTTAGGCACCAGGGATGTGCTAGTAAACGCTTCTCTAACGGAGTTTGCACTCTACGGGGAAGGTGACTCAATAATAGTGCAAAAAAAAAGCTTTGGAAACGGGGCGGGGATTGTTGAAGGATCTTGCAGCGTTTTAGTGTTAAATATTTAGTGTTGTCAGTGTTGTCAAAATACGTTCAGACATCAGTACCTCTGTCTTTGCGTCTTGCTGTCCTTCACGAGTTAATGCAGCCGTGTTCTTACATCAGTTCTGTTGAAAGGAGAGAATCAGTTCTGTTGAATGGAGCAATCCTGTTTCCATTGTTACGAGACCACTGTCTGTTCTTCACCGCGGGTCCACGTAGGGGCTGGTCCACACGCTTGGTTTTCCCCATTGCTGCTTCTGCAGCTCATCCACCAGTCTGCACAGTCTTGATCCTAATGATCAAGGCATTTGTATTCAAGGATTATATTAAACTGTTCTGTAAGTAAAACCAAAACCATGACCTAAATGAGTTTCGGGGTAAACTGTGATTGAGTTGTTTATGACCTTGAAGGATTTATGATAATCGATTCCTACTTGGATAGATCAAGATGGGAATAGAAAAAGATTCTACTTTGCATTTATTATGTTTTTACACGTCGGGTTGTCGAAAAGTCAGAGATCCATTTGTGGATGTTTTAGTTTTACTCAGCGGTAGGACTTGTAGTGGGTGCTCTGTTTCCTGCCATACAAACAAGCCCTTCCCTATACTAAGTTGTTCTAGGCGCCAGGGATCCAGCAGTGAGCAAAACGAGTCCCTCCTCTGACGGATGCCCCCGTTCAAGCAGCTGAGTGGGAGGGACTCAAAGCAGCCGGTGACTGTGGACAGCATGGAGGAATGAGGAGGGGGAGGGCCGGGTTGGTAGGGTGCGGGGCAAGCCCCAGGGGAAGTCAGGAAAGGCTGCCCTGGTAGCGGATAGATAGACACGAAGCGGGCGAGGAGGCAAGTGACTGTGCCAGTCCCGGAGGAGCGTGTCCTGGTCGCCGTGTTCCTGTCATTACCAGAAGTGGGGCCGCTCGCTCGGAGTGAGCATCAGGAGGGAAGAGCACTGGCCCATAGGATTTTAGACGTCGCTTACAGGATCTTGCTCTTAGTCTGAGCAGAGGAGAAGCCGCTAGAACGTGAGAGAAGAGAAGAGTGACGTGACCCTAGCTAGGTTTATTTGTTTTTTCTTTGTTTTGAAGGTCTGGCCAGTGCGGAAAGCACAGTCAGAGGGGAGTAAGGGCGGAAGCAGGGACTCTGGGTGGGGCTGTCGTGCTGCATCAGAAGTGAAAGTCGATGGCGACCTGGGCCAGAGTGGTGAGGAGGGGTTGGAGTGTGGGGCTATGTGGAAGGAAAAGCTGACAGGAGTTGCTCATAGTGTCCGGGGCAGGGAAGAGAGAAGGAGCAGTCAGATTCTTGGCCTGAGCAGTGGGAAAGGTTGACTTGCTGCTGAGAAGCTGGAGGATGCCACGGGACGGGTACGCGTGGGAAAATCAGCCGATGAGATGGATGTGTCAAGTGGGGGACGTTTCTTAGACATCAGAGTTTGACTCTGGCATTTTAGGGAGAGGGTTGGATGATTACCGAGGAAAGGTTTATACCCAATGAGGGCTAGAGTTTGATTTACTTATGTAAAAAGTGGGTAATAATATTTATTATCAAGTATTAGAATGCATATGTATTTTGTGTACTCATTTGTATTAAAAACTAGTTTATTTCCTACTTTTAAAAAATTTGACCTACAGCAAGAAAAAGGGGTAAAAACCCTCGATATCGTAGTTTAGGGGCTTGTCTTAGCTTTTAGTCATGTGATAAATCTGAAGAAATAGAATACATAGGTCAAGAGACATTTTAAAAATACCAGAAAAGTTACAGCTCCCAAACATTAGACTTTTGAAGGATTAGGTTTATCTCCTTTTTATCAATTATCTTAGGAAATAATGAAAACACCAAGATGAGTAGAGCTATAAGTATTGCCATGTAAAAATGAATGTTATTTATTTTCCTTACTTTATTTTTGAAATATGAGTGGCAGTGTATTTTTCATTTGTTTAAACTAAAATTCATACTTATTTAGAGTATTTAACGTATCATATGCCTTTTTTGCTAATAATTGAGAAGAAATTAATTTTGGTGGAATTTGGTGCCTTCTCACAGGCATGCACTGCATATTTAAACCACGGCGAAGCTAAAATGAAAGTTAATAACAATTTAAACCACGGTTAAACTAAAATAAAAGTTAATAACCATTCTCTTTACCCCTTTTAAAAACTAAACTGCTCTAACTGGTCATATCTCATTTTAATTGTCTTTCAGTTGAGTTTGTTCTATAGGGTTAAAAATGGATAAAGGTTTAAAAAGAAGTCTCAAAAACCACATGTCTGGTCCATAACAAAAGAAAGCGCTGACTGCCTTCTGTCCTTGGTTGACCTGTGATGCTCTGAGATTGTTTCCTCAGTGGAGGGAACATCTATCCCTTTATATGTGGGTTTATTAATCACTGTTGTTTTAGAATGCTAAATTAAAATGCTCTAGTGACATCAACTTTTTCCTTTCTTTTGCCAGTGTTTTACATATTTTTAAAATAATTCTCTTTATCATAGAATTCTGTTTTACAATAAATAATTTGAGTTACTATAGCTGTGAAAAAAGATTTGACAGAAATTTTTACTAATGTTTTAAAGTTGACTAAGAGCTTTTTTTGTAATTGGTGTCTTTAGATCCGAAGGCAGAAACTAGATTATACATCACAGTCAATGACTTCGAATTTCATGTCTATAATCGTTCGGATCTTTATGGACGTCTTCAAGAAATGTTTGGTTTGGAGCCAACAATAATTCCACCTAAGAAAGAGGATGATAAAACACGGGAAAATGGAAGGACAAGAACCCAGTCCAAAATTGAAAGGTTCATTGTCATACTCGAATTTTATTAACGTCCAGCATTTAAACATTTGCTTTCATTAGGATATCCTTGACGCTGTTCATCTAATCACAGCCTAATCTTTCTTTGTAGATTAACTAAGACTTTTATTCACATAAATAATTGTATAATTCTTTTACAAATTCAAATAATACAGAATTATGTAATGTAAAAAAAAAGTCCTGTTCTCCTGCTCACCAGCCCTTCTTCCTTCCATATTGATAGCTACTATTATCAAGTTGTATTTTATGTTTTTGAATGCACGTGCATAAATGTACACATGCACATGCAGATTGAAGGTGCATGTGCAGATACGTGCTTTCGTCTGTTTCTGGGCACTGTCCCATTGCATGGCTTGTCTTCGTCACCAGTGCCTCACTGTTTTGGTTACCGTCGCTTACAGTGCGGCTAGAATTCACGTGGTGTCGGTCCTCCAGTTTTCTTTTTCTCCTTTTTATTGTGTCAACTATTCTGGATCTTTTGCCTCTTCATATAAACTTTGGAATCACTTGTCCACAACATAACTTGGTGGGATTTCGACTGAGATTGCACTGAATCTATAAATCAAGTTTGGAAAAACCGACGTCTTGACAATATCTGTCTTCCTATTCATGAACATGGACTATCTCTCCATTTATTTAGTTTGATATCTTTCATCAGAGTTTTGTGGTTCTCACGTAGACCTTGTACATGTATTGTTAACTTTATACCTAAGTATTTCGTTTTTGTGATGCTAATGTGAATGTTACTGTGTTTTTAATTTCAAATTTCACGTGTTCATTGCTGGTGTAGAGGAGAGTGATTGACTTGTAAACCTCGTATCCTGAAACTTTGCTGTAATCACTTATTCTAACAGTTTTTTTGATCAGTTCTTTTAGACTTTCTGCATAGACTAATGTGTCTTCTGCAAACAAAGCCTTATTTCTTCCTTTCTAATGTGTATACTTTTATTTTTCTTATTGCATCAGCTAGAACTTCCAATACAAAGTCGAAAAGGGGTGGTGAGGGGACATCCTTGCTCTGTGCCTGATTTTAGTGGGAACGTTTCTAGTTTCTCACCATTAAGTATGATGTTAACTGGAGGGTGTCTTGCAGATATTCTTTATCAAGATGAGGAAGCTTCCCTCTATTCCTAATTTACTGAGAGATTTTAATCATGAATGGGTGTTGGATTTTGTGAAATGATTTTTCTGCATGTATCGATATGATCATTTGATTTTTCATTTTTAGCTGGTTAATGTTAATTGATTTTTGAATGTCGAAGAGCCTTACATACCTACATATCTAATAGGTTGTTACATAGATGATAAGGACATTTATTATTAATTAAATATTAAATATTCAATGCCAGGCATTGAGCTGAGGTACTGTGAGTATTGGGAATATGACAGCTGTCCTGCCTCGAGGAAATTTGTAGCCTAGTATGGGAGTTAGAACAGTTAATAGGAAATTCTAGTGCCAGAAGTGTTACCATACGGACAGGAATAATATTCCATGGGCACACACAGGTCAGGGAGGGCTGGGACCTGAAGGGTGACAGGGTTAGGCAAAGAAAGCAAGGACGAGTCTTCCCTAGAGGAGAAACGTCCTGTGCAGTAGAGAAGTTATTTGCCGATGCTGGAGCGGACCACTTGAGGGGACACATTAGACTCAAATGGTTTGCAGGGTCCAGTTGTTCAACACTTGGCTTTACCTCAGGCCAGTAACGCTGCGGCGTGAGCGGAGGGGATGAGAATGGAGGAGGCAGGGAGGCCAGGAAGGGTGTCGTAACATTTCAGGGAAGAGAGGGTCACCTGCTGCGTTGGTAGGAAGGGGAAGGGAAAAGAGTGGATGGATTGGAGGTACTTGGGCAAAGGAGCCCCTGAGATAGGGTGGATTAGATGTGGAGAATGAGTGAGGGGATGAGACATCGTGAGGCCACATTTCTAGGTTAACCAGTTGTCCTGCTCCGTCAGGGAGCCTTAGAGGAAGAGGAGGTTTGGGGAGGTAGTGAGGTCAGTTCTGAATTCATTTTTAAGCCCTGGGGCCACCTTAGTGGGGGTGGCCTCAGAAGTGTGATTTAGGAGTCACCGAGTTATATTAAGGGATATGTTTTTGTCTGAACTCTTTAGTGAATTGCTATGAAATTTTCATTTCTTAAATTTGTGTGTATGGGCAATTTTTTTCTTTGTTTTAGCCTGTCATTTTATTGGGAGGACATTATTTTGGTACAAAGTGGTGGGACTGGGGAAGGAACAGGATCAGCTGAGTTGTCAGAAGTGGTTAAAACAGTAGAAAACATCAAAGTAACTTGTACCTTGGTCATTTGTTGTTTTAATATTTTTGCCTGTCTTGTAAAGTGTTGCATTATAGTGTTAACGGGCATAATGGAAGATGTAATGACAGCATGTCATAATTTATACTTTTGATATTAAAGCATCTAAAAAACATAGTTTTGTTATTATATCTTGCCAATCTGAAAACCGACACATGATGGAGGGCATTGCAACAAACATTTTAGGATTACTAGTACCTTCTTAGATGGTCACTGTTTTGTTTACTGGAACAGTCCTTAGATATATTTGGAAAAGTCCGGCTGGTATTAATAATGTGTACTGTGAGGAAGTCAACTGTATCTGCAGGTTTTTTTCTTATATATGTCTGTTTTTATTTTTTCTTCCCAGAGTTAAAGTAAAAACGGAATCTCAAGACCCCACATCTTCATGGAGATCACTTATTCCAGTCATAAAAGTCAATGTGAGCACAGTAAGTAAATTCTGCTACAATTACTGTTTCATGGGTTAATAACAGACTTTTATTTTTGCAAAAATAATCTTCACTTAAGAAAATAATTTTGGTTTTTTTTTTTTTGATTCCAGTTTTCATAAGGAGTGAAAGAATTATTTTAACACTAATACCATTTTAGCACAAATTTATTAGACCCGAAAGGCTATTTATTTACAAGTGCTTCAAATTTCTTTAAACACAGGTCTTTCAGTGGAATAATTTAAATATGTATAGTTGTAAAGCGAAATCATTGAGTCATTGCTTGAAAACGCTTGTCTAGGGAACCGTGCGGTCTGAACTGTGCAGCACAGTGTCTCTTTGTGCTTCCAGGGGCGCTTGGCCTTCGGAAACCATCACCAGCCTCAGACTCTGTGCATCAACTTCGACGATGCTTTCTTAACGTACACCACGAAGCCGCCCTCCAGCCGCCTCGACCAGTTCATGCATATTGTGAAGGGGAAGCTCGAGAACGTCCGCGTCATGCTTGTTCCTAGTCCCAGATACGTTGGTCTTCAAAACGATGAGTAAGAAAGTTTCCTAAAAGTAGCAGACAACTCCTTTATGTCCAGTGCAGACATCAGTTGCACGTTTAGCATCCTTTTAATTTCTTCGCTACGTGTTCAGCGATGATGAGGTATATTTCAATTAACGGGGTAGTCATGCCTCATAAGGGAAGTGGATGTGCTGCCCATTGGTAAACTCTCATTTTAAATATTTTTCTATAACAACTGTAATTTTGTTTTTACCCTTTTATGCTTTTCACTGTATTTGGGAAACTTACTTTGGGCAATTAAGGCCTGCTGTTTAATATTGAAAATACACATTAGTGGTAGGTTTTTATTTCCAGAAAGGATGGATACATAGTAAATTTAACAAATTAATTATAGTCGAGTTCCATTTTGAGTTAACGAAAAGTTGAAAATTGAATCAAAATGACCTTGGATGCCTGGCGAGTCAGGGGCGTGCTTGACGCTTAAGGCCCGTCAGTGTCCCACCAGCTGTCCAGATCCATTTCACTTCCGGGAAGTCGCCGCTTGCATCAGGAGACAGGGCGAATTAGTGACGCCAGTGGGACTCACCCTCATGTGGTGGGTGCTTCCCTAGGAGGGACTGGGACACCGAGGGCACAGCAGACACGGAACTCCCACCCGACTCGCGGCCACACGCTGATGGTGGGATGCGGGCTCGTAATCTTTGTGAGTCGCAGCCTCTGTTCTTTTTGTGAAGGAAGCCGTGGTTGGATTTGTGTGATTTAGATTCTTATGATGAGTTCCCACTGTGTCCCAGCTTTTGTCTTTGTGTGTAGGTAACAAAGTGTCTGAGGTCGTGAAAAGCAGGATTGTTCCTTTTAGGGCCAACTTCTTGCTCTTATACTTTCTGGGGTCTGGCTAGAATGACAGAGGGGTCCCCCATTGGAGCACTCGGGAGGCTGCGGATCTGCCTGGTCTCGCCCTGCAGGACCACGGACTTTGTCAGCATCTTCTGGAATGTGGGCTCTGCACTCAGGGCTCCGGTTAAATCAAATAACAGTGTAGTCCCTGGTATTTATGGGTGAAAGTTGTAATACTGAATAAATAAATCTGGATTACTATGAATATTACTAGAGAGTAAGATGAAAAAGTGTTCTATTAATTTGTGTAAAAATATTTAAAATTGTAATTTTCACTCTCTAAAAGTGAAAATTGAACTATGAGATTAAACATTAACCTTTGTGACTTAATACATATTAGAAAAAGATTTCCGAATTTGTATATATTATCTAATGATTGAAAAGTTTATTTTGATATGGAAGAAAGATACTATAGTGTCTGGCAAAGAAAAAAGTTGTTAAAGCAAGTAAGGGTTAACAGTTTGTGGGGATTGATTGTAAAGAAACATGCCAGAATTTGCGTTCAAGATGTTTGTTTTAAATTTGTTTCAAGTTGATCAACTAAATATTCTTGGTAATAGGTAATATAAAGTCGTTAACAAGAAAAGTGACATTATTTAATAGTTCTGCGAGATCATAGTGCTTTCTTTAACAGATACATAAAATGATATTTCTTATTCAGTTTTGTAGTGTTAATATACTATGGTCGAATTTTTAAGTTTAATTTTAAATTTATTGTTGCAAATGCAGACTATGATTATGATGATCATTGTCCTTCCATTGTATTTAGTTAAATTAAACTTAGCTTTAAATTGATTTCTCTCATTCAAAATTTACAATGAATAATGCAAAACAAATTTTTTTTCCTTAAACTAATTTGCTGATTAATGGTTTTTCAAACCATTTTATTATGTAGTCTGAGGCAGGGGTCCCCAACCCCTGGGCTGTGGACTGGTACAGGTCCATGGCCTGTTAGGAACCGGGCCGCACAGCAGGAGGTGAGCGGCAGGTGAGCGAAGCTTCATCTGTGTCTGCAGCTGCTCCCCATCTCCAGCATCACTGCCTCTGATCATCAGGTGGTAGATTTTCATAGGAGCCCCAGTCCCTGGTGCCAGAAAGTTTGGGGACCTCTGGTCTGTGGAACAATTTATTATCTATATGAGAGATGTTTTCCCTTTCATGATGCTATGCTTGATTGCTTTTAGTTTTTCCTTTTTCCTTTTTCTTTCGCCTGTTAACCACCATTAGTTAGAGCACTGGACATTTTGTGTTCTGGAGGTGTGCTCAGTTTGCCTTGCCTTCCTTACAGACCACCAAGGCTGATGGGAGAAGGCTTCGTGGTGATGCAGTCAAATGATGTCGACATCTACTACTACATGGACGAGCCAGGTAGCGCTTTCTGAAAGTGTGATTCACAGCTACAGTTCTGTTTCTTCTGTGAAATGGGTTATCTAATAATATTTCAAGTCTCCTTACTTAGAATGTAAATAAGCATCAGGAAGTGGTAAATGTGGCTGTAAGAGTGCCTGCCTAAAAAATATCTGTGTCATTGTCAAAAGTTATATGTAACTAGTACCTCAGACCAGAAGAAAACAGTATAGTAATCTATCCTTCAAATTCCATTTTCACAAATATACCTCAGAATTGTGAATGTAAATGACCGTGAGTGAAAACCTCTGAGAATATGGTGATGGTGAAGGCAGTTCATGTTAGCTTAGGGAAAAAATATCTCAGCGCGTTAGATTTGAGGCTTCAAGTTCAGGATTAGAATCCAGCTACGATGCTTCACCGGTGGCTTCAGTCTTATAAAAGTACCTAGGCATTGGATTTTTAGCCTCCTTTTTCCGACTTCTGTTCTTTTTATACTTTTCAGGGGGTTTGTGAGGTCTGAATATCTTAAAAATAAAACTAGGATGCTCTCTGCTTTCTCGCCATGTTGGCGTTTGCGCCGTGGCGCCAGAGCAGTGACGAGGGCAGCTGCGGGAGCTTCGGGGCGCGTCTGGGCAGTGGTTGCAGACCGTGCCCGGACGCCATGTCCGCAGTGAAACAGCACGTGCCGGCGTCACCCTCGAAAGTCTTCGATAAACAGTCAAAATTCTTATCAAATCCTGACCCTTGAGTAAGCTTTTTCACATTTAGTGCAATGAAATGCCAGCTATGCGTGATGCACTTCTACCGTGACCCAAAGTGCACTCGTGTCCTGAGGAAAAGCACTGTGTGATTGAGTCGCAAGCCGAGCTGTTTGTTCTTTTCCCGGGACACCAGTTTGACGCAAAGGAGCAGCCAGAGACAAACTGGTTTCAGGCTTTTGTGTGAGAATTCGAATTTTGGAAAAATTTGGGCCTGCCTGAGTTTGACGACTTTTCAGATGAGACCCCCCCTCGCCCCCCAGTGATATTAACAAATATGATTTTTAGTTTCATAATGAAACTTATCAGTATTAGGAAAAAAAAAATACGCCCGCCTCAGCAAACCAATCTTTTCCAAATGACCAATGTACGGTATTACAAAGACGTGCCATGGATCAAAAGATTTATTGAGAGCACATGAGAGATCAGTAAACTTTAATGTATCAGAGTATGAAAAGTTCAGCCACGTGGTTTCAGATTCCACATTGCAGCTAACCTTTAGGAAACTACCAGTTGTTGAATTTTGGTATAATGTCAAAGAAGAATACTAGAACTAGCAGAAAAAGCTACTAAAACGCTCCTTTTTTTTCTGTCCTATTTGTGTGAGGCTGGGTTTTCCTCAAATTCTCAGTAACAGCATAAGCAGCTATGAAAATTCACCTTTTTTCTCTTAGGCTGTACGTTAAAGAGATTTGCCAAAATAAAAACCATGCCAGCACTCTCACTAAATTAATTTGTTTTAGAAAACATGGTTATTTTTCTTTAAAAAATATCTTCATTAAAAATGAAATTAAAATTTTATTTAGTTTTTATTAAAATATATTTCCTATATTTTTATTAAATTTTATACATTATATGAAATATGAGTTTATTTTTAAAATCACAGAATTTAAAAAATTGCTGAATTTAAAATTTGAATACGGTAAATTTTGATAAGGATAATACAAAAATACCCACTTTGGGGTCCTCAATGATTTTTAGGAGTGTAAAGTGTTCCTGAGACAAAAAATTTTTTAGAGCTGCTAAAGAAACTTTTTAATGGTTATTTTAAGTAACTGCATTTATATTGTATATTCTGCAATGTAGGACTTGTTCCAGAAGAAACAGAAGAAAATGTTGAAGGAGAAATGAGCAGTGAAGATTGCAAATTACAAGATTTGCCTCCATGTTGGGGACTGGATATAGTTTGTGGTAAAGGAACAGATTTCAACTACGGGCCGTGGGCCGACAGGCAGAGGTACTTCAGTAAATTATATTTCTAATAAGTCTTTCAAATGTATTGAGCTATTAGTATAATGTTTATTAAAACTAGCTTAATATTTTTCTAAGCTATTTCATTATGGCAAGGTAAGATATCCCTAGACATTTTAATCCAAATAATAACTTATTTGTAGAGAAATTGGCATAAGCAAGTTTGCTCCAAAGGAGGAGCTGATTCATTAGAAAAATGGTGAATGAACAGCATTTATTGGTTCGTTTTTTCTTTTGTATTTAATCAACGAATATGCCAGCTATTTTAGGGCTATGCAGATGCAGAGATAAAAGACATATATCATTATGTGGAGGAAAAAGAAATAAAAGAGGTTTATTATGTGCTATAATAGAGGTAAATAAAAAAATCTTGATGAAAAATTTAGAAAGATACTCTGTTGGTTTGCTAAGGCTGCTCTAACTTACGTAGTACCACAGGCCACGTGGCTTAAGCAACAGAAATTTCTCCCAGTTCTGGAGGTGAGAATTCTGCTCTAACTTACGTAGTACCACAGGCCACGTGGCTTAAGCAACAGAAATTTCTCCCAGTTCTGGAGGTGAGAATTCTGAGAAGAGGTGTCGGCAGGGCTGGTTGCGCCTCAGGTCGTCAGGGCGGGTGCGGGAGAGGCCTTTCTCCTCAGCTCGTGGATCCCATCTTCTGAGTCTTCCCGTGGTCTTGCCTCCTGTATGTGAGGGCGGGTGCGGGAGAGGCCTCTCTCCTCAGCTCGTGGACTCCATCTCCTGAGTCTTCCCATGGTCTTGCCTTCTGTGTTGTGTAGGTCTCTGTGTCCAAATTTCCTCCTGTTAGAAGAGCACCAGTCATGTTGGGTTAGTTCCCACCCAAAGACCTCATTCTAACCTAATTCCCTCTGTAAAGACCCCATCTCCAAACATGGCCAAATTCTGAGGTTAGGACTTCATTTCAGCATATGAATCTTTAGGGGGGCACAGCTCAGCCCATAACAGGTACCTAACTCATATTAAAGGTTAGAGGAGAAGAATTGGGGGAGCGTTTTTGCCAGAGAGAACATGCCAGTTGAGCTTTGAAACGTAAGTAAGAGTTAGCCAGGGAGGGAAGAGGAGGGTAAATGACCGAGGCGGGGCCATCGTCCTGTAGGTTCTCTAGGTCCTTAGGAGGTGTGTGGGAAGGTAAGAAATACAGACTTTATCCTGGAGGTAATGGAGTGTGCCCGAAAGGTTTTTTATTTTTTAGTCTTTTTATTAATTTGAAGTAATTCTTATTTTTAATGTATAACGAACATCTTTCTATTTATTGAAGAGTTTTAAACAAAGGAGAGGACATTTATCAATAGTTGTAAGGGCACATCTAAATTTTTATGTAAGTAGACGTTGCTTAAAGTTAGTTGAGCAACTTCGCCATTCGGAAATTCGACAGCCGTAGGGCGCCTTCCATCCCTCACGGTATGCTGGATCGGTGAGCATTTCGTCTAATCAGTGTCTTAATTAACGGTGTATTCGTTAAGTGCTTGGAGCTCACTGATGTCTGAAAGTATAAAACACTGGAGAAAACAGTCTTTCGTTTTACTGAAAGGAAATTATAGTAGGTGTTTTGTGAATTTTTTTCTATTTCATGTCTAATTGTTAAGAGAGATAGCAGTGATAATGTAAAGTTAGAATACTGATTTTTGTCGCTTATCAGAGGTAATTTTGTTGGAATAACATGTTCTTCTTGCTACCTCCTTATGTAGAGACTGTTTATGGAAGTTTTTCTTCCCACCTGACTATCAAGTCTTGAAAGTTTCCGAAGTGGCACAGCCTGGGGGACCTCGCCAGATCCTCGCCTTTGAACTGCGAATGAATATTATTGCAGATGCTACAATTGACTTGCTCTTTACCAAAAACAGGGTAATTATTGAAATAATATAATAGCAAATAGTATTTAAAATTTGAACATTATTTTCTAGAGTTTTTTTTCCCGGTGACTTGTCCTGTACTTAGATTCATTTCTGTGAGCTTCCTGACACCCCCTCCCCCCCAATAATTGTTTATGTGTCATTTTCATTAAATGCTAAGCAGTAGAAAGAAGTTAATAATAATAGACTTTTATATTATGTTCTGGTTCATTTTTTCTTTTGTATCTGGCCAAATTATTTTAGTGTATTTTTGGTATAAATTTGAACTTTTCTTCTTAGGAACTTTTACACCTGTTTAGTATCATTGTTGATTCTATTTTCATGTGTACTAGCTGAAAAGTGAAGATGAGAGTAGAATTATAATGAATGTCTTAAATGAATTAATTTTTTTCTTTTGGTAGGAAACCAATGCTGTACATGTAAATGTAGGAGCCGGCTCCTATTTAGAAATTAATATTCCAATGACAGTTGAGGAAAACGGTAAGCTGCAATGAGTGTCTGCTGTTTTAAATGATGAGCGTAACAAACCGATGGTCACCGGATGGGAGCGGATTGGGAGGCTAGGTGTGAAAGGGGAAGGGATTAAGAAGTACAGATAGGTAGTCGGAAAATAGTCATGGGAAGGTAAAGTACAGCATGAGGAATATAGTTAGCAATAGTGCAATGACTACGTACAGTGCCAGGTGGGTGCTGGACTTAGCAGAAATCACTTCGTAAGTGACATAGATGTCTCACCGCTATGTTGTACACCTGAAACTGATATAATATTGACTCAACTGTCATTTAAAATTTTTAAAAAATTAGTAGGGAAATAAATATATAAATAATCGTTTGTTAATCTATAAACTGACATTAATTAATGGGATTTTCTTTTTCAGCTTTTTGTTATGTTTTAATATGCCTGTAGTTATTAACAGTAATACTATATAATTATTTGTGCACCTAGAAAGGGGAAAATTTTTAAATTAAATCTTATAATTCTATGCTTTCATTGTTTCCTATATTTCTCTTAAGAGTGAGCATAATTTGTTTAGAACGTTTCTTCTGTTGCTCTCTCAGAGGAGATGCTTTGGGGCTCTTTAGTTGAGAACTAAACCTTATTTTAGCAAGTTTTAAAAGAAGAACCCAGCCGAGTCTTGAGGCAGCTGCAGCTGCTTGCTGTTCCCCAGGCCTGTTCCCCTTGGTGTTCCCCAGGCCTGTTCCCCAGGCCCGGCTGACTCACTCAGCGGGCGGGATGGCCGCATCCTGCGGACAGCCGTAGTTACACACAGGTGCTGGGGAGGGCAGTGGGGGTGCACAGGACTGAGAGAGCTTCACCCGAAGGAGTGCTGCTACCATCTTTAAACGGATTATCACGTAGGAAGCAATGATTGTACAGTCATTGGTGCACCGGGGGAGAGGGGCCGCCTGAGGGCTGAGGGGACCGCCTGTGAATTCACAGGAAGTGCCACAGCACACTGCTTGTGGCACCGTGAGCGAGTTAGGGATCTAAGGAAAGCCCAGTCAGGCTCTTGGTAAAGGTTAGATGGCTTGTCTGATGACTATCTGAGGGGAAATAGTCTTAGGTCTTAGACAGTAACAAAGTAGAACTCAACTACATCTAAAACCTCTTTTCAGAGATTCAGGCGTTTGGAAAAAAATGCCCAGAGCAGGACGCCTGTTGGACGAGCCATGTAACAACCACCACAGAGTGGTTCACTTCAAGAAAAGAAGTGAAATACTCTGAACTTTTCTGCTTTTGTTCAGAATGGGCCATGTGGTTTGGTGACTGTCACTGCGTAAGGAGTAGTTGAAAACAATAAAAATCAGTACCCTTGAGTCAGTGGAGGAAGAGAGGTCATGGGAGTCATCTTAAACAGTTGAGAACTGTCATTTGGAGAACGGCCTTGTAGTTTTGCACTGAAAGCACCATCATGATAGACATTATATGAAGCTGGAACTTTCTTCCTTCAGAGCTGTTGAAATGAGAAAGCACGCCTGCTAGGTAGCGAGCTCCCTGTCACCGGGGCGTTTACCGTGACTGATGCCATTTTTCAGGGGTTTCTCCTTCGGGTGGTGGAGAGAGTTGTTTCCAGTCCAGAGTTTTTCAGGGCTTAATCTTTATATTTTCACTTACCAGGTTATACCCCTGCGATTAAAGGACAGCTCTTACATGTCGACGCCACGACCAGCATGCAGTACCGGGCACTTCTAGAAGCAGAAATGTTAGCGGTGAGTCCAGAGCACATGACAATATGCTCGTGCGCATACAATGCAAATTTGGTTTTAATATTTTAGTATAAAATTTGAATGACCAGGAAGTCATCAAATGGTCCATCTTCTTGTTCAAGAAGCACCAGCTGATCTTGGCCCTGTTTTGGGGACAGGAGCGGATTCCCGGTGCTGTGGCCTTCCCTACCACCCCGCCTCTCTGCTGCTGTGCTCCTAGTCCGGGGGAGTGAAGATGAGGCACTGAGATGCGGGTTTTTGGCCTTTCAAAATGTGAAACGTTGTTACAATGTTGTTTTTAAACTTCACTGTATGGCGAGACTACCTCTCCCCGGTGTTGTCAATGAGATTGTTTTTTACCGTGTGCTCTGGCCCCGTTGGGTTCTTTCTCAGGGCGTGATAATTCATTGTGCTTTTTACTGGATGAGTAAAGGAAAAGGAAGAAAGTCTTGATACCCTGGGTTGCTTCATCTTGAAAATGGAAAAAATATGGAAATACTCAGGACTGAAATTCCAGATTGGGGACTCATTAATGAGACAGATTATTGTTTTGTTCTTTTTTTAAATTAGGGACAACAATAGTAACAGTAATAACAAAAGCCACTCTATAGAATGGCCAATATTCAGGGAGGATTCTTTTACGCAAGGTTAGGTATCATTAGGCCCTTAATTGCTTGTCTAAACAAGCATATTTACACATGACATATATGTAAATTTAGAGGAAATTTTTACAATTACCAAGAATATATTGAATACTATAAGTACATATTCAGCTGGCACAGTCAGCATTTGACTGACTGCTGAGCTGGCTGGCTGCTGATGAGCAGTGCCATGCAGCCGCGCTGTTCCCGTGAGGCGGCCCATGCCTTTGCCGAGTGGCCCAGCTTTCGCAGGTGGAATGCGACAGATGCCCAGTCAGGTCTGTAAGCACCGTGATGGGAACACAGGAGCCACTGGGGCCGACTCCCCCGGCACAGCGCGCACTCCATTCCACCCTCCCCGAGCCCGAGCCTCTCGCCCACAGAGCAGCGAAGAACGCTGGCTGTGCCTCTGTTCACTGCGGCACAGCGTCACAGCCGATTCGTTGTTTCTGAAGTTTTCTGGCTGCATCGTGGCTCAGTATTTCAAGGAACAGGATGTAGCCGTGGACACTGGCCGTTAGCCACAGTGATATTAAGATCTCGAAGGAACCTTCTGTTCAGCTCAGTGGGAAAATAAGTTTTAATTATTCACTGGTGTGCGTGAGTTCGTTGCTAATGCTGTCCTCACAGTGTCGCATTTTAAGCTCTAACATATTCCCTTAACATCCGGTTTGCAGTTCCACATCAATGCCAGCTACCCCCGAACCTGGAACATGCCACAGACATGGCAGTGTGAATTAGAGGTTTATAAAGCCACCTACCACTTCATTTTTGCGCAGAAGAACTTCTTCACAGGTGATTTCCTAGTAAACATAGGTACCGTGAGATTTATCACAGCGAACTCGTTTCCATTCAGTAGTTTTGCTTTTAAAGTCAACGTGGGGGTTTTGGTAACACAATTCAGACTTTCTTACTTTCACACTGTTTGGACTGAGAATATCAAAGGGAAATTTTAAATATTGATATTTTGTGCTCTCTTCTAATCTAAAAAAGGAAAATACGAACCCAAAATTTAGCTTAGAGGAAATAAAAGAACATGCCTTAGGCTGATGCTTTGTTTCTGTCCAGTGGAGAGTATGATGGGGAAGCTGAATCAAATTCTCTCTCTTCCTGAATTAGGCATCAACATGGCTTTGTTATTTTGTTTCAATTATTGTAATCCACAGTCTATTCAGATATGCTATTTTGTATTTATTTGTATTTAGAGCCCCTACTTCTTTCCGCTGAGTTGATCACATCGTTAGTTGGAAAAAAATTCCTTTATTTCTTGCAGCATGTTGCAATCAAGTGGTATTAAATCTTTACATTTTGTTTTCTGAATTTCAATTAATTTTAATTTTTGTCTCCCACTCCAATAATTTTAGATTTAATTCAAGATTGGTCTAGTGATAGTGCTCCAGACATTTTTTCATTTGTACCATATACGTGGAATTTTAAAATCATGTTTCATCAGTTCGAGATGATTTGGGCTGCTAACCAACACAACTGGATTGATTGTTCCACTAAACAACAGGAAAATGGTAAGAACTTTCTAAAAATTAGGTTAAGCCTCCTTTTCATTAAGACAAATACCAACACGGAGAATTGATATTGATTTGTGGTTTTAGTAGCTACTGGAATTGACCCTTTTTTTCACTATCTTGCAAGATTCTCAGTTAACTATTTCAGAGTCTGTTTTGGACTAAGCTTTAGTCTTTGATTTTGTTTATTTTGTGTATTTAAGGCATTTTTTATTGAAAATTTTATTGAAGTTAAAAGTAAGTTTTCTTTTCTTTGTCCTTGTTTGCAGTGTATCTGGCAGCCTGTGGGGAAACACTGAATATCGATTTCTCTCTGCCTTTTACAGACTTCGTCCCCGCTACATGCAACACCAAGTTCTCCCTTAGAGTACGTATAATTGGGTGCATTAGTAAGTTTGACTTCCCGGGGCCCAGTGTTACCCCCCTGCCCTTCCCATTCCCACCCCGAAGTGTTTTAGCTGTCCTGCGTTGCTCACTAACCTTAGTGTCACAGAATTGCTGTCGTCTCTTTTTTATAGTTAACACAATGTTCTGCCATTCCCCTTAGTTCTCCAACTTCCCCTAAGAAGTTGGGCAATAAAAAACAATCCCCTGAGTTGATTATTTTCTTAGTGCTCATTTCTAACCCCTGAGGCTGACCCGTCTAGCTCTGATGTTTACTGTGTCCATGACTCGATTTTACACTTCTCTGTATTTCATTCCTAATTGTAACTGTGAATTCAAGGAATAACCACAAATACCTGTCTTCCTTTTATCTGAAAGCCAACTCTTATGGGTTCAGAGTTTTTAGGAACATTTAATTTTAGGGTATGGGCAATCAGTGGTAGCTGTAGTACTGATGGAGGTTATGGTGGTAAAAAATAGCAACAATAATAATATGAGCAGCTAACACCTGTTAAAGATTTCGTATGTGCCAGACACTATCCCTGGGGCTCTGAGTGGTCACCCGTTTGCTTTGTGGAACAGCCCTCTTGAGGAAGCTGTTGTTATTATTGTCTGCCTTGAGGAACAGGAAACTGAGGAGCCAAGTTCAGTAATGAGTGGAACTTGAACCAGGCGGCACGGCTTAGCCACTGTCCTGTGCTGCTGGCCAAGAATGCAGGCATCGGGGTGGGTAGATTGGGGGCCAGAAAGGCGAAGGTGAGCCTGACTGAAGACCCTTCTGTGGACCAGCTCAGAGTTCCTAAATGCCAGTCGATGGACCAACACTAACTAGAATCAAAAGAGACGACTGTATTTTTAAAATTAATAAAAATACAGAACATATTCCACCATATATTAGGGAGAGGATTTTTTTTATTTTTTATTTTTTACTCAGTTACATATGAAATATCCATGAATACCCATGGAAGATAATCTTTTCACTATTTTGTGGAAACTATACTGATTTTTTCCCCCCCCTGAACTTTCAAATCAGAATTTAGTCAATGTAAAATCTTATTTCAGTTATTTACCTGATTGTTCATTGTAGAATCTGCCATTTGAAATTTTATTTTGAATTTATTCGTAAGCTTATTATAGAGAGGTTTGGCTATAAATAGTAACCTAACATGTTTATGTACCTATTTTATTACTTTGGGTCATTATAAATTATTTTTAGGGAGAAGATGTTGATCTCCATTTGTTTCTGCCAGATTGCCACCCTAGTAAATACTCACTGTTTATGCTGGTAAGGAATTGCCACCCAAGTAAAATGACTCACGATGCTGGTATTCCTGCCGAGTGTCACGGTGGCCAGAAAACCGTTAAGCCAAAATGGCGGAACATCACTCAGGAAAAGTGAGTACACGACGTCAGTGATCTGAGTCTTCGTACTCAGCATGTAACTCGTTTGACTCTCTGTGTCTGGTGCTTGTTACAATTAAAGCAATAAATTAAATACCTGACTAGAAACTTTATCTTTTACTCTTCAAAGAGCTGGTTGGGTCGAATGCTGGACTGTCCCAAGCGTCATGCTTACCATTGATTATACATGGCATCCAATTTATCCACAAAAAGCAGATGAACAGCTAAAACAGTCACGTGAGTATATCTAATTTGTACTTTAAACATCTGGTGTTATGATTGGTAATCTTCAGAGGTACAAGAAAGAGATAAAACAGTTTGGAAATGCATCTATTTTGAAATACTTGTATACATTTAAAATCTTTTAAGGATTTTGTTATAGGTTTTTATTGAGCATTTATCTCTGTATCAAAAGCTCGGCCAAGCTGTTTCCTGCTTACAGTGCCTCATTTCATCCTTAAAACAATTCTGTGAGATAGATATTATCATTGTAGAGTCGAGAAAATGTGCTCAGAGAACATAATTAGATAATTTTCTGAAGGTCTTCCAAGCTAGAAGCAGCAGAGCTGGACTATCAAACAAGGTGTGTGTGAATATATTTAGAGCACTTGATTTTGTGGAATGTTAATTTCTTTAACACATTCGACATCGTATATCATAGTTACCCTGAAGCTGATGTGCCTTATTGTGGACTCTCTATGGGGTCCAAAATGGAATTAGAGTCAAGTGATACTTTCTTTGTATTTTTCCAGTGAGTTAAGATTTAAAGAATAGTTTCTATAGTTGTCTTTATATATGGAACTTGATAATGTCACACTATATTTAAATGGCTTTTTATGTGGAAACAACTGTACTTTAATGCCCAAGGATAGTTAAAGCCTAATCGTGACCCAGATTTATATTGCATGGACTTGACTAGTGCCGCTAGTGTTGACAGGGACTTTTCATGGGTTCTGTGCGATCTGATTTATGTACTTCTACACATACTCCAGTTTGCATTCTTGATTATCAGTCTTTTAGGGTTGTCTTCCTGGTATACTATAGGCTATATCAGGGTTAGTTGCTTTCGTATTTGCAAAATAAGACTTCTTAGTGGATAATTCCTTGAAGAGCTTCTAAGAGGTACTTTCCTCCCTTCAACAAACATTCTTCCCTCAATTTCTTCCAGTGTCAGAAATGGAAGAGACGATGCTGTCCGTGTTAAGGCCGTCGCAGAGAGTGTCGGACAGGGCGGTCCCCTCTCCCTCCTCCTCGTCACGCCCCCCTGTCGATCCCTCAGAACTGCCGCCCGATAAGCTCCACGTGGAAATGGAACTTTCCCCCGATTCTCAGATAACTCTCTATGGACCTCTGTTAAATGCCTTTTTGTGTATAAAGGTATGATTTTTAAAAGAACTTAACATTTTTAAACATAAGCAAAGCAGTTCATGTCTAATTGAAATTGGGACCATTTGCAATAGCCAGTTGGATGATTTAAAGTGTTGAGAATATATTATATATGTTGATTAGACTTGTAGTACTAGACTCATTACAAAATTATAAAAAGAGTGTACTCCTCAGTGCAGCGTGTTTTTGAGCATTTAGTATATTCTAGGAATCGTGCTAGTTGCTATGGGATACAGGTGATCTGACATCTGTTGTCAAGGAGATAAGCTGGAGGAGTGGACACGTATGGACAAGCTTTAACACGCTGTAATGAATGCGGCATATAATACAGGAGAACCTTGTTATCTGAGGGTACTTGGTGCCAGGAAAGGTCTTCTTCACGTGGCTCCATTACAAACAACTATATTCCACGGTAAATAATAATCAAGGATTTGTTTGGAGCTCCGTCTTAAAGGTTGAAGCAAATACGTGAAAATAAGTTCATTTCAGGGTATGACAAATTTAGGTTCTGAAGAAATATGCACTACTTCTTAGGGCAAGGACTAAATCAAGTGTTAATTCATTTTGGTATAATTGTCCCACTGAAATTGTATGATTGCACAGTGTGATAGCACTTAAAGGTTGATGTCCGTGGCACAATTGTGAAGAGAGGCTATTTTAAGAACAGTGTGGACTTGGTCAGTTTTCTAGAAGTCGCTCTTTTAATATTCAGCTCATCCTTTGAAAACATCCCCAGCAAGTCCTCAATAATTCTTATTGACTTACTGTTCTTCCTAGGTAACGGCTCTAAGCCCTCCAGATCCTCACTTATCACCAAGAGCTTTACCTGTGATTTGAGCAGTTACCCAACATCACTTTCGGCAACTTCATGAAATTTTGCATTTTTCTAGGATTTTGCAAATTTATTTTGCTTCAGATGTTTATTGTACTGTTGGATGTTTACTACATCTGATAATCAAAGACAGACTAATTACCCAAACATCGATAAGCACGAGCAGCAGAGTTACTTGGTGTGAGTCTGATTCCGTCAGTGCTGACTCGTGTGCTCCCTCTCGCGGTTCACAGTGCAGGTGTTCTGCTAACAAGGAGCCCTGTAATGTACAGTGACAGAGGCGATCGATTCTAGAAGGGGTCTAGGATGATCAGGGTTAGCCAGGGAAGGACAATCGGGGTTTGCTAATAAAGACTCTGGAAGAAGTGTGGGCTGAATGGCTTTCGAAGGTACCTAAAAATCTCAGTATTTGAGTTACTGTTATTATATTTACTAATCGACTTGATATCCAGAACCCTAGCCAGAAAATAAATGTGTCAATAACCAAAATGCAGAATTTACCAAAATACTGACTTGGTTCTAGTATTGAACAAATATAGCTAACAGTGTTAAAAGGAATATTTTAACAGTTTTTGATCACTATGGACAGATCACATAGGCAAAACTTAAATTCAGAATCAATGGGAAGAAGAAAAGGATTTCAATTAAAAATAAATTCTGATGCAAAGAAACCAGAATATTTGTAGTTCAAACACTAATGCATAAGAAACTAGGATGAACTACATGAAAAGAAGTTTTGGTAACTTTATAACACATGTTTTTGTCATCAATAACTAAAATTGGACACTTTTTAAATAAATTTATTTAAATTAGCTTCAAGTATACAGTACATTGATTAGACATCTATATTTTTATTAAAGCTGTTAAGACGTTCCTGTTAAATATTTCAACAGGACTGTATGAATCGTAGTGTTTAGCCAGTTGATTTTCGGTGAATTGATGTGCTTCCCCCGAAAGGTGTCCCCGGGTGTCACTGTTTCAGCACTCCGAGCAGCAGCTTGAAAAGCACTGACCCTTACAAGCCCCCAACGGTTTCTCTAGGACCCGGACTGCAAGTTTTTGCCATTACCGGAGGTGGTGTTATGAAACTTTACTGTAAACTTCTATGACCTTTTGTGGGCATTTTTTTTTTTTTTTTGCTACAGAATATTTATTTGCTAAGCAGACAAGTAAGAGTATATCTTAAATATATGTATCTTTTTTTTTTTTCATTTTTAAGGAAACAGACGTGATGCTTTTAATTACATAAAATAGGTTTACAAATTTTGAACTCAAAGGTGAGGAGTTATTGTTACATATCTCTTCTGATAGCATTTCTTAATGTCTGTAGGAAAACTACTTTGGGGAAGATGACATGTATATGGATTTCGAAGAGGTGGTTTCAAGTCCCGTTCTGTCACTGACGACGTCGTCCAGCTCTGGCTGGACTGCCGTCGGAATGGAGAATGATAAAAAGGAAAGCGAAAGTTCGGCCAAGCCCACCCATCCGCTGGCCCTGCGTCCTTGGGATATCACTGTCCTTGTGAACTTGTACAGAGTGCACGGGCGTCTTCCTGTTGTAAGTGTGTACAGGTCAGAGTAGCGTCAGTGGACCGTGAGCTTAGCCAGCACAGGAAACATTGTGTGCCTGTGTGTGTGTTTCGTGATGGGATCGCTTGAGCATTGGCGATTTCACTTTCTGTTTTTCTTCTTTCACGCGAGCTGCTCCACGCAGCTAGAGAACATTTCTTCATGGCACTGAGCTCATGGATATCCCAGGACTGTAGAGTTTCTTAGCCTTCATGTCCAGCCGCAGACCAGTTTGAGGCCTTATGGTGGACCTAGTACCAAATCAAGAGTCAGGCTTGGCTTTGAGGTTGAAATACATCAGGGGTTTGGAGCAGCCCAGAATCCTGCTTCACCCCAAGGGGGACATTGAGGCTGCCTTGGAACGAGGTTGTGTTGCCCAGGGAACCCGGGCCGTTGGAGCCAGGCCAGACAGGGAAGGGTGGCCCTAGAGCTTGTGAGGCGCACTGGCTCCATGTCACACACCAGGGCTGCATAGCAGAGAAGTCACCTCTGGTGCTTAGTGGCCCTAGAGCCCTTACTGGGGTCCAGAGTGATTCTGTTCATCAGGAAGCACCGTTTCTCTTTTTAAAAAATCTCTTAATTACATGAGCGTAATTATTATTTTCCTGCACTTCCTTGGTCTTCAGTTTTTCTCCACCTTGATTATGGTATTTTGTTTGACTTTAGCACGGAACCACCGATGGTCCTGAATGTCCCACGGCTTTCTTGGAAAGACTATGCTTTGAAATGAAGAAAGGATTTAGGGAGACCATGCTGCAGCTTGTCCTGTCTCCCCTGACCGTGTGTGTCAGCGACAACTATCAGGTAACGGGAAGCGAGCTGTGCTGGAGGCTCAGGTTCATTATGACTCTGTGGGGTCAAAACAGTGCGTTAGCCTCTGTGCATGGAACAGGTAGCTCTCCACACTGCAGGCTTTTAGTTTAACCATATTGAGGAGTTTTGTATGTGCATGAGAGTTTTTCAAGAATCTCTTTTCTTTTTCTTTGCTGTTCCCTATTTGTGATCCCAAACAATTATATTTTATATCTTTTTGTTTTTAGAAATGGAAAGAAATACTCTATATCTTTCTCATTTATTTATGGAAGGGAAAAATGCATAAAATCTTGGCGGATTCTGCTGAAAATCACCACCTAAGCATTAATACTAACCAGTACCGTGAATCTTCAAAACATGAGCACCTACATGGTCACTGATTTATTCTTTTCATGCAACATGCTTACAAGATATTTTGTTAATTTTTTCACGATATCCCTGGGAGTCTTTTGGAAGACAACTAATGATATTCATCAAATATGAATCATTTACGTTCCTGGGAAGATTATCACTTTATTATTATTGTTTTTAAATGCCAGATGGCTGCTTCTGGCATCTACCACTGCTGTAGGGCTCTTCCCTCCTTTAGGGAACTTGTATGCTTTACAGATGTAAATGGATTTTAATACAATGCAAAGTAAAATTATAAATGGGGGGATGAATCCAATAACCTGCACATCGTCCATGGACGATAACTTACTGTGGATTCAGTGCAGTAACTGATCATCTTCTTTAAAATAGTATACCACCTTTTCTTGCCATAACTGATTATATTTTTCTACATAGAACTTTAATTTCTTTTCGTAGATGTATATATTTCACATATATACATAGTAGCTGAAACTTAACATATGCTAGTTCTGCCACAGAATGTTTCCTTTTTTAAACTTTTATTTCAAAATAATAGTAGATTCACAGGAAGTTGCAGAGTTAGTACAGAGAGGCCCTGTGTCCCCTTCACCCAGTTTCCTCCATGCTGATCTGTCACATAATTATAGTGCAGTATCACAACCAGGACACCGGCATTGGTGCGATGTATGTGCCTAGTTCTGTGTCGTGTTACCCCATGTAGATTTGTGTAACTGCCACCAAAATCAAGTGGCAGAGCTATTGTATCATAAAGGCCTCACGTACCTAACACTTTTAACTGGCCATAGAAACCTGAAAAATACCTCTTGGCCTCCTCTCTAACTAGTGGGTCACTAGGGTTCGTTGGTCTTTATTCTGGGAGCTGAGTATGTGGAGAGGAAGTCCATCTCCTTTTCTTGATCTGTTGAGGAAAATAATAAAGATAAAAGAGAAATATCTCCTTATGGCTGAGTTCTGAACATCTTAGATGAGCATCTGTCTTGCGAGTACCTGGCAACGCTCTAACTTCTATTTTAATCACTGCATTTTCAAAAGACTTTACCAGATACAAAAAAACGCTTTGTTGAGCTCATTATGAGAGTTCCCATCAGCCATAATTATGGAGTCATCAGCAGGTGTGTATGGTGACTGAGGTATAAGTGTGGTTTATTTGGTCCCCGGAGAAGGAATTCGTGGAGTAGAGCTGCAGGGCGGTAGTGCCAGACTCGGTGATGCTCAGTGTCCCTGACGGCTGGCCAGAAGACAGGGCGCTCTCTGTGTAGAGTCTTGGAATTTGCTTATCTGCTTGACTTGCTTACATTGTGTGGTGCTGGCGTGACTGTCTCTAAGAAATCTTTTGTCTCTGTGCTGTCTAATATTCTGTCACCATGGCAGGCTTTGCACCCTGACAGCCCCCTGGTCAGTCCTGGGTCACTCACCTGTGGATACTTGTTCCTAGTAGCTTTAGTCCTAACTTGGGGCCTCAAGGCTCGGGATCTGAGGCGCTGGGTGGCTTTCTGTGTCCGATTCAGGAAATCACACGTTGTATTTCACGATCATCTTACGACACATGTTCGTTCCCAAGGGCTGCTGGAGCAGAGGAACCGCACTGCGTGGCTTAAAACAACAGGTATCTCCCCTTGTGGGGCTGGAGCCTAGAGGTTGCCGTCTGGTGTTGACAGGGCCATGCCGTCTCTGAAGGCTGTCGGGGAGGACCCCGCTGTGCATCTCCCCAGCTGCTGGTGGCTGCCAGCAGCCCTGGGCGCTCGTCGTCTGTGGCACAGCACTCCAAGCTCGGCCTCCGTCCCCACATGGCTTCCTCTCCATGTGTCTGTGTGTCCCAGTTTTCCTCGTAAAGGCCACCCGGATCCACTGTAGCCCCATTTTAACTCGATCACACCCGTCAAGATCCTATGCCCAAGGGAGGTCTCATTCATAGGTACCCGGGCTGGGGGCTTGGACATGTTTTGGGGGGACACCACCCCATAACATGATGCAAGCCATAGTAAAATTTAGACTGCAGTGTTTATTGGCGTACTAGGTTGGCTATACCTTTAGGACAAGCTGAGATCCACCTGTGTTATTGAGCTAAAAGGAAAAAAAAGATCACGGACACTGTATGCTGAGAATTTGGAAGGCTGCAGCAGACCCCCCCGCCGCTCTCAGACGACACCTCAGGCAGCGGATGCCGGAGAAGGGCGATTTCATTATGTGACGCAGCTTCAAGAAAAGGAAAATGTGTCAGAACATTTTCTGGAGCTATATATTCTAGTCACAACTTGAAATTTCTTTTGAAGAAGTCCTTATGAATCGGATTTGGCCTTCTTAAAAAACTTTTTTAAAGTACGCATTTCCCAAGCGTACTGAAACCAGGAACCCCAGCCCTGTGAGGCGGCGTGCACACACGCACTGAAGAGACCCCGTGCCGAGGTTAGCTTGGGGGGTCCCTGTGAGCCGTCTCGTGCGTGCTGAGGTCTGAGGACACTGCACAGCCGCTCCGTCAGCAGGGTCTGCTTTGTGTGGTTATCTGGTTGGTGCGGTGGGAAGCATGGTGCCCACGACAAAAATGGTCTTTACCCTCATCAGCCTGATGGAGAAGATAAATACCTGGGCGGGGGGGGGGCGGGGGGACAGTGCAGATAAATAATTTCACATGTGACAGGTGCTGCCCGGAGAGGTGCGAGGGGCTTCGCAGGCATGCAGTGGTCTTGAGACGAGCACATTACAAAATCTGCCTTTTTAAAAGCTCTCTGGTCCTTTGTAGAGTGTGGAGCGGAGAGAGGGAAGCGGAGCCCCTGGCAGGAGGTCTTCCTGGATCAGGAGGATGGCAGGGAGGTGGGCGGTGTCAGTGCCGCTGAGAGCCGGGGAGGTGGCGCCGCAGGAGCTGGGGAGGGCGCTGCCACGCCTGCCGGTCCGTGTCCCCCGTGGTTCCCTGGGGAGTCAGCGCTCCATGCAGGACCCTGCTGTAGCGCTCACGCTGTAGCGTTCCGAACGGGTCCGTCTCAGCCGTTTTCTCTGACCCGTTTGCTGCTTTTTAGTGATGTTCGCATGATTATTCTCTGTAAGGCAAATCTGTCCTTTTGTATGTACGTAGTTCCTGAAATCTGTGCGGAAGATGGTTTCGGTTTCTTTGTCTAGTTCTTTACTTAGTTGTCCTAATGGTCTTTATTGTCCCGTTATTTTCTCCTTTTTAGTATCTTAGTCTCGTGATTCCTGCCGTCCCACAAAAGATGGCCTGTTACATTCCCTGTCAGAGCACTAGTTTCTTTTTATTCGTCAGGGCTGTCAGCAGTCAGAGATCCGCATGCTGCTCTGGCTCTCGTGGATGCCGTCACTACAGAGGCTTAACTCAGACTCCTCTTGTGTTCAAAGTTGTGTTAAGAGCTTCTGGATCCTGAAGGCTTATTTTCCACATGGCGTGTTTTTCCTGTCTCTGGAGGGAAGAGCAAGGAGACGTTATAATGCGATTTTCTGGTATTTCTTACATCCTTCTTACTGTTTTCAGCAGCGACCCCCGGTGGACGAGGTGCTCAGGGAGGGGCACATCAGCTTGTCCGGTCTCCAGCTGCGAGCGCATGCCATGTTCTCGGCAGAAGGTCTTCCTTTGGGAAATGATTCGTTGGAATACGCGTGGCTGATCGATGTGCAGGCTGGGAGCCTGACGGCTAAGGTCACGGCCCCACAGGTACGGCTCTCACAGAACTAGCTCCTGACTTCTTTTTCCTTTGCTCCCACGGCTCCGAGAGCCAGTCGTGTGCCCGTTCGAATGCTCGCTGCGTGTCCCCTGAGGGCGTCTGGTGGCCACAAGGCCCTTTGCTTTTTGGACAGATGTCGTT